ACTGTCACACTGCACAGGAGGCTAGCGCAGTGGAAGACCCACTTGGTCTTCCCAAGGTGCCCAGATCGGGACCTGTGCGTGGGCTGGTGCGGTGTGACCCTTTCTCTTGGCCCTGGTCGCAGGGTCGGAGAGCAGCGTGCGTATCCGCTGGAGTTGAGAAAGAATTGGGTCTCTTACTGCAGGACTTACATGTGGGGTCCTGTCACCATAGTGAAAGGAATTTCCACTTGCCACTTTGGGGTCACCCTTGCGGGACTGCTTCTAGACTTTGGGCTGTCTTAATCCTTGAACCAACTCAGCACTGCTGTTCAGAAGAGAAAGCAGGCAGTGCCCAGGCTTCCCGGAGAGGCTCTCTTCCGAGGGAGAACCCGGCCTCCCGCAGGGTCTTTTCCCAAACCGCGGGCTGAAGTAGCTGTGGTTGCTCACTCTGTGGAGAAAGGACAGCGGGGCCCGGGAGAAGCATGAACTTCCCATAGTTTCACAGGGAGAAACACAGAAAGCTGAGACTTGAACTCAGGTTTGATTTATTCTAAGGCAGACCTTCCTCTCCTCTGCTCGGGGCTGAAAATTGAGGTTTTTATTCCTTAGCAGTTGCTGTCATCTCACAGAGTTCTAAAGAACTCTAAACTTTATGTGTAAGTGTGATTTAAGGAAGTTATTATCCCCTCAAAAAAAGAAAGAAAAAGGAAAAGACCTTGACATTAGAGTCCATTAGCTATATAAACATATAAACCTTATATAAACATAAGGTTTAAATTCCCTCTATAACCCCAATAAGAGGTTAGTCTAATGAATATGAATCTATATGTCTTGGACATGGTTATTAAAATTTTCCCCAGGTTAATATATAATATAAAATGCTTAGTTTTTAGTGAATGGTTTTGCACAATCCTGTTACTTGACAGGCAAAATATGTCATCATTTCGAGCCTGTTATTTAGTGTCATCTTTTTATTATGCATAACTGTCAAGAAGAGTTTTCAGCAAGATATAGTAGTACAGTAATTTTGAGGTCATGGGGCAAAAACAAGAAAATGTATTTTCAGGCTAATATCAAAATGTCTAATAAATAATTGTAATACCAATGATTTAAAAGAAAGCACTGTTCATTTGTCAATGTAACTGAAATTTAAGTTGTTAGAATATATAAAAGAATATGGTATTTTTTGCTAAAATTACACATTAGCAAATTTATTTTACTTTCAAAGAATTACTGTTTATGTTTGAAGTGGAACCATAGGCTGCTCAAAAGTAGGTTTGGCAGATTTGAATTTTTGTTTATGTAAAGGAGGAAAACCTGGTAACTGAAGAAAGTAGTTAAACAGCGGAAATGAATGGTGCATGGATTTGGCCTTCTTTGCAGGGTCATATGATTTTTTTTTTTTTGAGACAGGGTTTCACTATGCAGTTCAGGCTGGCCTTGAACTCACAGCAATCCTCCTGCCTCAGCCTCCTGAGTGCTGGGATTACAGGCATATACCACCATACCTGGTGGTCATACTGCTTTTTAAAATAAAACTTAGCAAAGGATCTGAGGGAATCAGGATTAAAATTGGCTCATTCTCATTGGACACAATGTTTGCCAATATGGTTTCTGTTTTAGTTTTTATATTATCATCGGGCTCTGATGTGCAGATCATTAATATTTATCACCTTCGTGCCTTCTGGAAAACAGCTTCCTTGCCTGTCATGCTTTGCTGGGGGCGGTTTTCAGCAGGAGCAGTTCCTTAGATTGCTACCCAGAGAGACAGCTGTGTGATCACTGAGCCTGAAGGAAGTGAGGACTAAGGGGGTCAGGGTCTTCTGCCCCAAAGACCAAAGGTCAATGCAACATGTGGACATTTTATTTTAAGAATTGGTTCAGCATTATAGAACAAATCCAAAGTTATGTATTTCTAATTATAGAAGCAATAAACTGGAAGCCTTTAGCAAGAGGAGCTTCCTTCAGAGAAGAGACCTTACACTGCTATGTGGTTTTGTTCTTGTACTGCACCAACATCATCAGCACCAACCCCACGTTTGCCGGAAAACTGGGCCCTCTGTCTGTGAGGTGTGGCTCCCGTGGAGGCATGCAGTTTCGTTTAATTAGGGCTGAGGAACATTGATCATAGAATGATGATCAATGTTCTGCTGATCAATGGTAAACAGTCTGTTTAACCAACAGATGATTATTATTATTTTTTCAGATGATTATTTTGAGTGCTTACTAATGTCTTGAAAATTCTTTTTCTGACCTTAGGGAAACCTAGGATATTTTAGGTATACATATAATAAATGTGAGGTATAAAACTGTGAGGTATAAAACTGTATAAACTAAGCTCTGTATAGCCAGACCAGAAGAATTTTTGTGAAAGTTTTGTTCAGGAAATTAACTTGTGCAGAATTCACCTAACATGTTCCAAATACTTGGGTAATATTTAATCATAAGAGATGAAATCAACACTAGCCCTGACTGTGTTGCTGTTTTCAGTAAGATTCAAGCCCAGAATAAAAAAGCTAGGTACACAAAATTTATTTTTCTAAACTGCATAAAATGGTTTGTACTTACCTAGTAGAAGTTAAAGAAGAACAAAAGTGATTTTGTCTGCAAGTCTGCCTGGCTTCACTTTTACATGCCAAGGCTTCACACATTTCTGCTTGCCAGCCAGATTGCCTTTCGTGCTTTTTATAAAAATATTGATAGGGAATTGCAGGTCCCAAAGCAGGGCAAGCACACAGGTACACAGATACCTTCTTAGATTTGGTTACAAATAAGCAACTGCTCTGCACATGTGAGCTTCACACAGACAAGTCTGGACTACTCAGGCAACCTGGGGACATTTCCCTAACGGCCTGCAAGAGGAGCAGCTGGCCCTGCCCACCTAACAGAAAAAAGCATAGGTAAGATCTGCTCAGCAGGAAAGGGCATTAAGCTATTGCTACATGTCATAACATGGATGAACCTTAAGGAATTACGCTAAGTGAAAGAAGACAGACAAGAGTGCATTCTCCATGATTCCATTTTTATAAAATCCTCCAGGAGAATTCCAACTCAGCTATCTCATCAGATCTGTGGGTGCCTAGGAATGCCGAGGGCCGGAGAAAAGGGTGGGGCTCTAGGCAGAGGGGAAGACCGCAAAGAGGTACAAGGAAGCTTTTAGGCGTGATGGATGTGTTCACTTTCTTGATCGTGGTGATGTTTCCTGGGGCCATTTGTCAACACTTTTCAGATGGTGCACTTTCCTCAGCAGCAGACGAGGGTTTCTTCTGGTCATCTGCTGGCTGTGTGACTTCGGGCGAGACACGTGACCTCTCACAAGTGTTCCTCCATATCTGGGAATGGGATTATAGGGACATAGTAAGTGCTTAAGAGAAGAAAGCAATTTTTGTCTTTTAAAAAAATTTTTATTAGTACATTTTTACAGTGTGCAATGTTTACGCTGCTTGCATGGACTTGGTACCTGTACGGAACACATCCCAAATCCCTTTTCATCACCTCCCCCTTCTGTCTTGATCCCCTTCCCATTTGAGGAGGATCTCACACTCTACTTCCTGTTATATTTTATTTTACTCTTTGTTTGTAATTAGGGATTTTTATTTTTTTATTCATTTCACATTCTGATTTTCATAAGATTTAAAGTACAGATAGTCTTGAGTGAGCACATCGAATACTTTGAATCACAGGGCAGGTGTTATCAGGGTGAGTCGGTTCCTGTAGCAAGGTGACTTCGTCTTGTTCTCCTCTGTCCCGGACCCCTGCTCTGTAGGTGTCACTGTGAAGAGTTCATTTGTCCTTTCCTTTGTTAAATAATAATATCATTGGTCAGAAGTGCCACATTTTTGATTGCTTATTCAAAATCCATTCTGGCATTTAGGATGACTTTTTGTGTTTATTTAGATTTAAATATATTTGTCATTCATCTGTAGGAACAATGTCTTGCTTATTAAATGTTTTCCTTAAACCTGGCAAATAAATCTTACTGTATTAATGATATAATAATTTTTTGGTCTCTTATAAGCAATATTTAAAAATTAAAGCATATTCACCAGAAGGAGAGTTGATCAGTTTTTCTAAAACTAGTCATGTGGTTGTATAAAACCAAAACTCTTGAGATCAAGGGATCTCTGAAATAAAAGAGTTTGTTGAGCCATTATAGATACTAACCAGGAAAGGACAAAGTCCTGAGATAAATTCTGAAAACTACCAGCAACAGGGCCAGGTAGCAATTGGAAATAGGTCCACAGGACCAGAGCTAAGAGCAGGTTTTAAATAATACAGATTTAGGGAAGAAGGCATAGATCCATTTAGGCTGTACGAAAGAGAGCAGGATTATATCAACCAGGGAATGCTTGGGACAGAAGGACAGTCCATAAGGAGAAATACTATAGTTGTTGCTCTGCACAGGTTGAGGGGGTTTACTGTCCAGAAGGGTTGTCGGCCCACAGGGTGCAGTGGAAAATGCTGGTGGTAGGCTGTGGTGAGCCCTGAGTGAAGATTTTAATATATATTTAGAAAGGCGAAAGCCTCCCCCTCATCTGTTAATTGATTAACTTTTCTTATCTCTTCTCCTGTCCATCATTTGACCCTTATGATTAAACATGAGGCCTTAGTTTTTCTTTAATCAGTTGCTATGCAAATGTGGAGGGCAATATAGAAAAATGTAGTTATTTTAAAAAGTGAATTGATGTCATTGCCATTTATAAAAACTAACAGGATTACCTCCCTTCTCCTGATCTTGGCCTAATTTTTTCCACTGTCAGGTGATTCCAGGGAATTGACAGGTGATTGATTTGGTTTTAGAGGGTCCTGGAACTACACAAAGTGTTTTTCATATTGGGAGAGACATGCCTAGTTTTTCACAAGTTCTAAGATTTATTGCCTCACCCTAACATGTTGCAAATTAGTTTGTTTGCTATTTATTTTACTCAGAATGTAATTGGTGTCATTAGCCAAAGGGCAAACTTGATCACAAGGAAAGGGAGACTTACAATGCCTTGTTTTTTTCCCTGGCACCTCTCCAGGGTTGGAGATTCGATGGGTGGACTGCTACTTTCCTTTTACTCATCCTTCCTTCGAGATGGAGATCAACTTCCGTGGAGAATGGCTGGAAGTTCTTGGCTGTGGGGTGATGGAACAGCGACTGGTCAATTCAGGTAGAAAAGAGTCCTGTGTTGTATTTACCGGTGTCTCAAGGGACACTGCCTTGCTGTGGCAGGGCCCTTTACAGGCTACTCCTCCTGGGGCAGCAGTGCCTTCCTCCTCTCCTCCGTGGTCCCCACTCTCCTCTCTGGCGCTGGACTCTGCAAGGCCTCGCTCCTCCCAGCGCGTTTTGCACAGGCCTCTCGTCTTTGCGGGTCTTCCTTGTCAGCACTGGCTGCTGCTTGTGGACGTGTTGCTTTCTAACTGCTCCAGAGGCATTTGGTACCTGTCCCGTGAGTGCAGTTTGTCTTCACTGTTAAAGAACAAAGCCAATGCGTAATCCTTTTTTGCTCGTATTGCATTCAGCACAGTATCCCAAATGCAGCAGATATTTCATAAATACACAAAACATAACATAAAAACACTAAGGCCCAAAACGCTGAGTACTTTGCCACTTTCCATGTAAGCAGTGCCATCAACTGAGGGAAAGTGGAAAGATAAGGTCACTGATTCAATTCTACTGTTAGCTACATGTACTTGAGAAAGGTTTTTCCCGCTATTTTCTGTAGGGCCATTGCTTTAGACAAATGATTGCTTCTAAACTTAATTTCAGGCTGTGAGGGTTTTTTTTTTTTTTTTTTTAAATAAACTATCTGAATTTAATTTAAAGTTACTTGGAGTAGAAATCCTTCAGGGAAAGTGAAGGGTTGAGCATGTGAGCTCAGCACATGCACAGTAAGCACTAAGTAGATAGGAGCTGGTGGATTGTGCTGGGCCCCTCGGGCCTGCTCCTGTAGAAGGACATTCACTGTATGGCCCTGGAGGCCTGCTCTGCCCCTCGGTTGGTTATGGGACCTTCTGCCGCAGAGTGGATGCGAGTCCTTCTTGGTGACTACAAACATGGTAGACCATGGTTTATGATGTCAGCTCATGGGGCTGGAGAAGATAGAGTGGAACTGAGGAGACAGGAAAGGTGGGATCTTGTGTTGTTGGGAGACAGGTGCCTGGCTTTCCTGTTTTACCCTTGTCACCCAGCCAGGCCCATTCTGCCTACTGCGCTGAATACTCAGCACCGCACAGTGAATTTTGCAAGAGTTTATTCACAGGATGCTGATAGCGAAGAAGTGGGACCCCTGAATCCCACTTTTGGGAAATGGTTTATGCTTATGTTTATGAATGGGATAAAGAAACAAGATGGTTTGAGGCATGGGGAAAATTTGTTGGAGGCAAGGAAAAGTTAATGAATAGCCTACATATGCACGGTCCAACTTTGAGGCTTCGCGTTGGATGCACAGTAGTATGATTTCATGATGGAATCTCTGACTCTGTGTGGTCAAGAGGCCGTGCATCTGACTACTGCAAAGGTCCCAAATTGAGGGGTCTGTGGTTTTAACCAGCTTGAGCTAGAGAAAAGCAGCCCTCCACTAAAACACTGCTAGAACAATTTTTACTGTAGTGACTGTACGTGAGAAATGTTACTGAGAGCAGAACTGAGAGTATACTGCTTAGGGATGTGACCTCTAAAATTGACGATCAAAACAAGAAGCTAAAAGCAAGTGGAGCTAGAGGGTTTATTCCACTGTTCCTTGGTTTTACTCTTATGGCCTTTCCTCTGTAGGGGTCTAGGTTTCATGAATTCACAGACACCTCTCCATTCTGCTGAGGAAGGTAGGGGAGAACTCAGCAGAGTACCAGATGCTTCACGGATGGTCTTCAGATATTTGAAGGGCTGTCCTAGTGGCAAGCATCAGGAGAGGGTGAAATTAGGGCCTGTGCAAGAGGCCTGTGAGACTTGCAATTGGATGCATGAAACACAGGGGTTTTTGTTACAGCTCTGTCAATTGTCAGCTGCATGTCTTCAGGCAAGTTGCTTATTTCCTGTGATCTTTGGTTTTCTCACAGTCAAACGGACACACTGATGCCATCCTAATAGTTTTGGTGTGAAGATTAATTGAGGTGCTGTGTACAAAGTGCTTGGCAAAGAGTCTGGTCACAGTAAACATTCAGAGGAGATCAATTGTTGTTGTAATATTTAAGTTTTTTCTGATGATGAGAGACATTTATCAACAGAGGGTCCTCCTTATAGGAAATATTTAAACAGTGGCCATCCCGTAAATCACAGAATCAATTTCTAAGTAAGTACAGCCAGTTACTGCTTTGATCTGTAGCCATCTCTTTATCCATGATTCTAGACTGAGTGATTGAGTTTAGAGGGGAAAAAAAGTACTCTGAAACGAAAAGGAAAGAAAAATCAGTGGGTAGGTGTGTATAGGTTGGAATAGAAAGATGTGAGTTCAAAATATGAGGGGCAAGTATGTCAGATTTAATATCCTCTTGGGTGGGAGCTGACTTCACACACTTCTGTGGTTTTAATTTTTTTTAAAGAAAAGAATTAAATAAATCCTAGGTTTCCTCCAGAGGTACCTGGTGTCAGGGGCCAAAGCAGATATGGGGTGATCAGCTGACATTATCCATTGTCCCTTTAATTGTGCGTTCCTGTACATTTTCTAGTATCTTCCAGGGGTTCATATGAGGCTTATTCATGCAGTAACTTGGCTGAATATAGCTGTCTGAAACAAGTTTCCAAGCCACTATTGTAAATTAATGAGATAGCTGTTCTATAATTAGATCAGCTGTGTCAGGTATTCTTGAAGGGAATGGCAAAGTAAAATACACATATATGTGCACAAATGCACACTCACACACCTCTAAAATGCACATATGTTTTGGGGGTTCATAGTGATGGTAGGATGTACTTCAAGTTGTTGGGAAATTGTCCCCATAAAATTGAAATTATATAACTTGCAAGAGAGAGGGACTAAAGAAATGGAAGACGAGACAGTTTTTAAAAGGAATTCTGTGTAGATTTTGCTCTTTGAACTTGAAGTTATTATGACAAAGTTCTTTTCTGTGTTCTTGGAGATCAAGGTGTTTTGACTTCTCCAGATAAACATTTTAAATTCTCTGCCTGGCAGTCCCCACCCGCACACATTATTTGCAAATCCAGCTGATTTTCTGTCTTCTGAGTTCCTGCAGTCTGGACAGGGACTGGTGATGCAGTCCTCTGAGTTCAGTTTCCCTACTCCCTGCTTTTTTCCAGCATGTTCTTCCTTCCTCACTTCCTCTACCCTTGTCTTCCTTGACCTTTCTCTTCCCTTCCTCTCCTTCATTCCCTGTCTTTAGGGTGTGTGCTGCTGAAGCGAACACTCATTCCTGTCTTTAGTGAGAACCTGTAGGAAGAGTGTAATGGATGGTTGTAGAGCCTCCATTAAGGTTCTAATGGAGGGCTGGGAAGTGCTGAAATAACCGGAAACTGGATCAGCTGATATCGGAGCAATGGCAGGAGCTGGCATCATTTGAGTGTCACTGTATGCTAGCATCACCGAAAGCGTGTTTTGCACACTGTCTTCATTTAACCTTAGTCAGAGAGCTCTGAGATAGATGCTGTCAGTATCCCTATTTTATGGAGCCTGAGAAAGGTGGTCCAGATCATATAGCTAGATTGCACTAGTAAACTGACCCAAGTCTTTCTAGAGCAGTTAACCACTCTGCAATGCTGCCCGAGTGGTGAATTACATGATTTTGAAATGGCTAAAAATTGATTTCAAATAGATCATTGTACCTAATGTGAACTACAGAATTGAAACCAAATCTGGGCATGGTGATGCACGCCTGTAATCTAAGTGGCTGGGAGGCTGAGGGAGGAGATTTCTAAGTTCAAGGTGAGCCCGGGCAATTTAGAGGCTTACTGAGATCTTGTCTAAAAAAAAAAAAAAAAAAAAAAAAAAAATTAAAAAAATTAAAAAGGTCCAAGGATGTAATTCAGTGTGAAGGCCCTGGGTTCCATTTCTAGTACCAAATCCATGAGCTGAATCCTCAGATAAAATAAACAACAAACAAGTCTTCACTTGTTCTGTAATTAGATACCTTTTAAGAAGGACTATGCCACCTGGTGTGTTATCTTCTGTGATGCAGTGCATTTAGTCAAAGGATGAGATGAGGTTTCTAATTTAAGCAGTAGATGAAAACGTGTTACACATCGCAGTAGATTATGGCAGATATGTGTTCTGAGACTTGGAATAAGGCTGTCCAAATGACTTATAGAATTTTACTTTTCTTCTTCTTTTTTAGGTTGTAGTATCTTCTCCATTGCTTTCAGGCTCCTTAGACTTGTCAATTGTGATGTGATTGGTGACCATTTTTATGATGACTTTTTTTTTTTCTGAGAAAGTGTTTTGAGGACAGGACTGAGTCATGTCCCCAAATACTACAGTCTTGTTTCCCACTGGGCTGAGTCAGGCTGCTGATGTCTTTTCATGTGGCACATGGAGCTCAGACGTCTACAGCACTGCCAGGGATGACTATGGCCTGTGATGGAACTGGGAAGGAATTTATCCTTGATTGAGCCCCTGTGAAATTTAGAAGATTGTACATAGACCAAGGGGAAAGAAGAGGATCTGTAGTGGAAAATAACTTCAAGAACAGGATCTGCTTCTTTGTGAAAATTTAAAAATTGGTTCTTTTGGGAAACCCTTCTAAATACTTGCATGGACAGTTTCCAATTTTAAATAATCACTGTTTACTCATTTATTTATCCAATATTTCTTGAAGTCCTACTAAGGTTATAGAAGACTGAATGAGTTTTTGCCTGCCTTTGAGCCTATCACAGTGCACACAGACATTAGAGCAGTGATCACAGTACCCAGTGTGTTTGTAACAGAGGAATAGTGGGCAGGGTGAGGAGAGGGGAGTGTTGGAAAGATTGTACCAGAGTCTTGTGCTGATTACATCCAAGATGGAATATGGATCACTAGGTGTGTGAAACATACATTTCTAAATACATTATGTGCACATTTCCAAGGAATTGTGGACTTTGTCTTTGCTTGGTTGCCTACTTGGCATACTCAGTGTTTCTTTTTGGTATGAGTGTGAATCTATTTCTGGTCTGTTCCTCCTTTTGATAGATGATCTCTATACTGTGTACAGTTAAGTGGATTAGTGTTACTGATCTATG